AGGTAGCTTACTTGATAAATAATTGAAAAGTATTTATTCTGGAAAATTCATAAATTTTAATGAATAAAGTTGAGGATAATTAATAGTATGAAGAATACGTTCCATTGAATATTGTTCAAGAATTAATTCATTTATTTGATCACAAATTTGAGGTAAAATATTTGTACAAATTTTATCAAGAATTTTATTATTTATTGGATAGATCTGGTCGAAACAGGATTTCATTTTCATTGAAGTTAAATTAAGTTTACGAATATAAAATGGATCCAACACTAATTGACTAAATCGTTGAGTAATACCGACGAATGAATATAAAACATCAACCATATTTAGTTTTTCAAAAATAAAAAATAAAATTTCATTAGGTAAATCAAGTATATTCAAACAATCGCTGTTTGATACATTCATGTTTATATTTCTTGAGTTCAATACTCTTGTTTGTATACATATATGTATATATATATACATTTTTTTTCTCATAGTCGTCCGGAAGAACAATGAAGAATATATACTCATATTAAAATAATAGGCTATATCATTAACGAATGATACTATTTTTCTTTCAATCGCGCATTCTGTTTTCTTTATTGAGAAATCGTTCGTCCGATAATTCGTCAGGTCATTCTTCTTTTATGATGATGTTTCGTTTGTCATGATGTTAAATACTTTTTACTATACATCAATAACATGTTGATCCGAACAGTTTTACTTAATTCAATTTTAAAAGATTACAGAAAGACTCCGTCTTAGGCCCCGAACAGACTGAGAAAAATGAATTGACTTAAAGTTGAATTAAGCAATGTGATTGATGTTTCTACGTAACAACAGAAATTATATTGATTAATTCAGTTTTATCTTGTTCAGTCTGTTCGGGGCCTTACAAAAGTTTATAATATTTGATTTGATTGGATATTATATATATTTGTGAGCCTAGAAGTAATCTTTCTCAAATTATAATATTTAATTTCAATATTTTGTATATGATATTTAAAAGTTTCATAATGAATGTATCATCTGTTTTTATTGACAGTTAATTATCGAGAAGTCGTTTTTATTATTAAATAAGTTTTAACAACAAACATTTTATTTAACTTAGCTTTTTTTGACAAATTAATAATTCAGTTTAATGATTCGTTACTTAGAATATTAATAGGAAATTCAATATATTGATGTTTAAATAATAAATAATTGTTCTTTATCTTTTTGTATACTCAGAAAGTGAGTACACTATAGAATCGGTTAGTGTGTTCGTCCGGCCGTTTACACGATAACTTCTGAAAGGCTCATCCGATTGACATGGAATTTTGCACACAGTTTAGTCTTGTGAATATCTTGGTCGAGGTCGAAGATGAGCCCGTTTTCAGTTATTGCAAAAATACTCATTTTCCCTTGGTTTTTCTATGGGAAGATCGATATATCGCCGTTTTCCTAAGAAACTTCTCTATCAGAGTCGAATAAAACCGCATTTTTCATATACCATTTGATAGAGAATTTTACGGGCTACAAAAAGATATAATATACAAAGAAATAAGAAGGCAAACATGATTAAGCAGGAAGTGGCTCAATTATTTGCAATGGTCTCATTGACTCACCCATTAGAGCTTTGTCTTCTGATCACAAATATGTTACTTCGAGGTTCTCTTGGGCGGAGAACTTGAATCTGTACTCGTTTTTGCCTGGAACTCCATTGGTTGAGCAGCAGCCAATAAAAATCAAGTTATGAGAAAAACGGTTTTCTTAGGGTAAATGAATGAGGAGAGTTCAAATATGAGATGTATTTGACCGCAAATTCTTTCCGATGAGCAATAGTCAATAGAAACCATGTTTATAGAAAAGATTTCTCATGATAATTTTGGTGTCCAGACATTTTAGAATGACTTATCTGTCTCATACACTTTTTGTAGGACACATAACTCTTGGATAAAATCCGAAGTTTCCGCATTTATCTAATACTAATATTTTTATATTTTAGTTTGATCTTTGAGGGTGTGGGTGTGGGTGTGGGTGTGGGTGTGGGTGTGGGTGGATGTGGGTGTGGGTGTGGGTGTGGGAGGGTGTGTGGATGATGATGAACAGTAGAAGCCGAGCCACATCGATATCCATACGAATTCCCGCACACACCCACACCCCCCCCCCACCCCCCCCCCCCCCCCCCCCACACCCCCCCCCCCCCCCCCCCCCCCCCCCCCCCCCCCCCCCCCCCCCCCCCCCCCCCCCCCCCACA